CCAATTTCGAAAGGATCTCGCATCACTCGAAGGTGGAATTTACTCAGCACCGTTGCTAGAGCAACCTTGAGCTCCAGCATGGCCAACTTGGCTCCAAGACAAGACCTCGGGCCCGCCAGGAACACCAAGAACTTGAAAGGCGAAACAACCAGCAACTTCCCAGATTGAGGATCAATCCAGCGTTCAGGTTTGAACTCGGCGGCGTCTTCACCCCAGATGGACTGCAGCCGAGCGACGGCGAATGTTGGAATGACCACGCGAGTACCAGATGGGACGAACGTGCCGTCACTGAAGTAAACATCTTGCGTTGCAGTGCGGCCAATGAGTGGAGCGACGGGATTCAGACGCAGACTTTCCTTGATAGCTGCTTCCAAGTAGGTAAGCTGCTGTACGTCGTTCATGGTTGGAGGCGCGCTGTCCTTGTGGAAAAGTCGTGGCAGCTTGCTCAGTAATTCTTCGCGGATCTTGGCTGCAACGTGAGGATACCGGTTCATCATGATGAAGAACCATTGCAAGCTCTGTGACGTAGTTCCTCGACCTGCGGCAGTGAAATTGAACGCCATGTCTCGAATCAACTTGGGCGAAGTCTTGACCCGGTGAGTGGTAGAACCGTCTTGTTGGTCTAGATACTCGTTGGTTTCTTTAGCTAAGAAAAGGGAGATCAAGTCAGGAAGACGCTGTGGCGTATTGACATCGGTCTTGGACTCCATGGACTGCGAGATGACCTGGTAGATGACGCTGTCGACGCGCTTCATGTCGAGTTTTAGCTGCTTTTCGTAGCCCAGATTGAACGCTCGCTTGATTCTCCACAGCCATCCTGGCTGTTGAATACGGCGATGAACAGCAATGGGGAGGCGAGTGAAGGCACGGAAGAACTCGTCGTGTTCCTGACTCGACAGTGACTGCAGATCGACACCAAAGCCCACACGTGTGAAGACATTGGTCGCGTACCAATCCATGGTATACTTGAGGTTGGCAGGGTTGTTGGCAGTGGAATGTGCTTCCAGTGTTTCACACAGTACTGCAGCCTGCTCTCGTACGATTTGCTCCATACTTTCTCGCATCATATGCAGAGAGAAGAGGTGGCACGCTGTCTTGCGTTGATGAATCCACGACACCCCGTCGGCTGCGAAGATGCCGTCGCCAAACACATCGCTTACTAGCCAAGCGCTGCACTTGCCGAACTTGTCGAACTTGCGATGAAGGACGTCCTCGAATGCCTCGACGTTGGAGAAAACGATGCTCGTCGGACGACCAAGTGCAGTTAGGACCCATGGACGACCGTCGCAGCGTTTACACTCGTCGAGGATCCAATCGTGAATGTCATGGCGGTGCTTGAACATCAAGTCCAGAGTGTTCCCAAGTACTGGGAGAGTCGATTTCGGACGTGCGAACCTGGCCAGTGCTCTCGCTTGCTTCCTTGAAGAAAAAAAATGCCAGCCAACTAACAACGTGCATACTAAAATTCCCCATGACGTCTCTGATACATTTAGTGCAAATTCGAGCGAGCTCCACATGGGGATTGAATACGAAGAAGGCACTTGATCTCTTGCTGACAAATGCAAGACTGGCAAACCAAATCACCACTAAAAAGCATCATGTTTATCGGGACCTCGCCGTCGAGAGCTGGTAGTGTAGCACTTCCCCTCATGATGAAGTTCATGTTGTTGTGTGCAGCGTGCGTTAAACCCTCGGAATACTTGAGATATTCACACCCGCAGTCTTTCCTGGAAAGCAGCGAGTCTTGATGCCAAAGCTTTCGCCATCGAAGACTGCAGTTTACATAGCTGTAGTTTGATCAAACCATGACGTGTAAACTGTATCCCCATCATTTCGAAGCTTCGAACATAGTACATAAGGTTCGCCACAAGTTCTTCGGTTCAGTGTGAGTCCTCTGACGCTAGGATATCCTCGCTGCATTCCTCGTCTCGCTAAATCTAAAGCCGGTATATTCTTCGCAATGGTGCTGCCTTTTGCCATCGCGGCGTCGTTCATAGCTGCTGCGGTGGCCTATTTCACGTCCCCGAATGATCAAGATCGGGCGGTCTGTGAGCTGCCTACGCCGCGGAGCACACTACCGCTGGTCAAGAACACGCTGGATCTCGTGTTCATACAGCGCGCAAGGATCTACGACTGGATCTTGGAGCAATGCCGAGAGCATAGAGGCCAACCGTGGCGTGTAAGGGTGCTTGGACGTCCTCCTGCTGTCATCCTGAGCTCCCCGGAAGCCATGGAGGATGTCTTGAAGACGCAATTCGACGTATTCATTAAAGGCCCTACCATCTCAGATATTTCCCACGGACTACTAGGCGACGGCATCTTCGTCGTGGACGGCATTAAGTGGAAGCACCAACGCAAAACTGCGAGTAATTTCTTCTCCATGAACATGATCCGCGATGCAATGGAGAACGTGGTGCGCGATCACAGCAAACTATTGACGTCCACGTTGAACGAGGCAGTGGAGAATGGAGAGACACTCAACATCAAGCGCGTACTGGACTTGTTCACGATGGATATCTTTACCAAAATCGGCTTTGGAGTGGAGCTGCACGGGTTAGAGACTGGTGGTAACAGTGGCTTCATGGAGGCTTTCGAGCGAGCATCGAGTCGCATTATGGCACGATTTCAGCAGCCCATGTGCATGTGGAAGCTCGCACGCTGGCTCAACGTCGGGGCGGAAAGGCAAATGGCGAAAGATGTAAAGCTCATCAACGACGTAGTGTATGATGTCATCCACCGTAATTTAGAGGAGAAAGCGAGTCGAAAACGGAGTGGAGAAAACTCTAATAGTTACCGTAAAGACCTCATCTCACTCTTCCTCGAGAAAGCGAGCGTTAACTACAGCGATGACGACCAAACTGAAATAACCCCAACGATGCTGCGGGATATGTCGATGGTCTTCATCTTCGCCGGACGGGA